CTAGGGGTCAGCTCTTCTCTTTTTTCCTTCTTCTCTTGTCTGTTTTCACTCCCTTGCTTAGTGGTATCATCCAGTCTCAGGGCTTGAAATATCAACTATATGCCAATGACTCCCAAATTGATATTTCCATCTCAGACTTCTGTCTTGAAGTCTAGACTCATCCACAATGGCCCATTCAGCAACTCCATATGGACATCTAATAAGCAACTTAAATTCAACATCTCCAAAACTGAACCCTTGATCCTAACATCTAAACATGCTCCATCCACAGGCTTCCTCATCTCAGCTGATGACAATCCTATCCTTCTAGTTGCTTAGGGCAAAATCTTAAGAGTTTCCCTTGACTCCTTTCCTCTCACAAGCCACATCCGACCCATTAGGCCAATTTAGAAGATATTTCCTAACTTGACCCAAACCACCTCCACTGCTAAAACCCTCCCATATCTTGTGTTAATTACTGCAATCATCTCTCCTAAATGATCTCTCTGCTTCTACCTTTTCCTTCCAGTTAACTCTTCACGTGGCATCCAGACTGACCATTTCCAAATATGAATCAAATCATGCTATTCTTGTACTCAAAACCCTGTAACGACTCCTCATTTCACTCAGAGTAAAAGCCAAAGTCCTTACAAGGGCCAAGAAGGCCCTTGTTAACTCTTTGATCTCCCCTCCTCCTCCAATTCTCCCCCTGCTCATTCCACTCTGGCCACACTGGTTTCTTTGCAGTTCCCTGAATTCACAGGCGTGCTCCTGCCTTAGGGCCTTAACACGAAACACTCCTGCTCTTCTCCAGACATCTGCTGGCAGACATCTAAGACTTTGCTCAACTATCACTTTCTCAATAAGGCCTATATGACTCTCCCCATCTCTACTCCCAATTCCTCTTTCTGATTTCTTGCTCACGTCGGAGTCCAATGTAAACTGACAGGGAGGCTCTAATCCATCCATTCAGGTACCCAGCCTATGTTCATCTAAGAGCTTCTCGCTTTGCTAGTTTCTTTGGAGACATTTCCCTTTAGCCAGTGTATACTGGGAGCGGGATGAGTAAAGACAGACAGGATGGAGAAGGCACACCTCCTTTAAAATGCCTTGACCCAGTAGCAACACAGATCAATTCCAAACAAATTCATTAGTGAAAACTAGTCATATGGCCCTATCTGGCTGCAAGGAAGACAGGCTCTACAGTCCAGTTATAGGTCCAGGAAGAAAAGGAAAACTTGGATATTGGTGAATACTTTTAATCGCTAAATGTCTTTTTGCTCCCTTTTCCTACACATAAAACACACTCAAGCCTCTTCCACCCCCGAAAAGAAAACTTGAAGTCCCATTCAGTCAACGCATCTAACTACAAGTCCAGGATCTCTGAGTACGGCACAATCTTCATGAAAACCATGTGTAGTTCCTTACAATGTAGCCTGTGAACTAAAAAGGTAAATTATCTGCACCCTCCCTCCCCAGTCCCAATATACAATGGGGAAACAAGAGCAGGAGGTTCTTCCTTATCCAGTACTCTCCTTGGCCACATAGACTCTGGCATGCCTCCCTTGGGGGCCACATACAACCTTCACAACCCACCTCCTGCCAGAACAAGTTCTGAGTCTTTAAAAAATGGTTTTACAGCTCAAATAGTCAAGGGCTTATTCAGTCCAGGCTCATGGTTCCCTTGCCAACATAATTCCCCCTAAAACTTAGTAGGCTTTTGTTCTGCTTGTTTCCAGTCAGTTCTGTGTGCCAGTAACCACACATCAAGTTCTTTCCTAGACATAACTCTCAAGCCTGATTTATGTCTTTGCCTCCACGCCTCTTGCTTTCAACTAACAGAAGCCACCTGGAGGCCATATGAAACAATAGGTCAGTGGTTTCCAACTCTGGCTGCACAATAGAATCACTTGGGGGAAGTTTTAAAAACTGTCAGTGTGCAGGTTTCATATACCCTGGGTCCATTAAATCAGAAGCTATGTAGGTGGGACCAAGGTGATTCTGACGAGCAGCAAGAACAAGAACCTGTACCCTTAATCTGATCTTTGCCACAGGACTGAGTCACTTTTTTTCAACTAGAAAGTTTACTAGGCGTTTGTTGCTCAAAGTCTTTCTCAACTCTTACCTCTTGCTCTCTGGGGTCTAGAAGCAGCCTGTTTTTCCTTTCACTGTCTCAAGTCTCAGAACTTTCTCTATTCCCTTTCATTTTTTTCTTGAAAATTAGCCAGTTCTTTCCTAAGCTCATCTCTTTCTTGTAATATCTTACCAATAACAGTCAACACACACTCACACTCTGATCTTTTCCAACATTTGACCTAGAGCTCAGCTAGCATGAGGTGTGCCTTCTGAGTTACCACGGATAACAAATTTACCATATCAGTCACCACCGCAGTCTCTTTTCTACCCCCTAAAATCTAAGCTCCCCAAAAGCAGGAATCTTTGTCTGGCTTGTTCATAGATGTATCCCACATCCTGCTACAATGCCGGGCACACAGTAGGTGCTCAAAAAACCTTTTGAATGAATAATGAATGGCCAGAAAGAATCACAGATATGGTAGTATACGACTTTTTTTTCCCTACAATAAAGGCAAATAAATGGATTGATGACTAAAACAATGGAGAATTATACTGCATAGTTTCTTAGAGAAAACATTAAACAGAAACCTTGGGAAAAATCAAAAGAAACTTCCAAGCACCAACACTACACATATCAAATCTACAATGCAAATTCATACACAAGCTGGTTAAATGCACAATAAATTCATCTTCTGGGAACACAGAGAACCAGTCCTCAAAATATTAGTACAAACACAGTGGAAAATCTTCAAAAAAATTACTGTTGAACTAATTACACATCTTTACGTTAAGTGGAAACTTCTTTACATGTTACCAGCCTCAAAATTCACCCACATCGTCCTCAGAGACCACAGGCGTTGCACATATAGAGTCCCAATTCTGAAAACAAGTTACACAGACACACACATACTGCTAAACAACTTTACCAGTACGCATCTACCATACACAATGCATACACCCATCAACATTCAAACTGATACATTTATGATACCAGCTACAAAATTATGCATGCTGAAAATACTTGATTTTTCTTGAATTAAGTCACTATAACAAAAGTGAAGGAATTCAGAGAACAGAAAAAAATAACAAAGCTGAAATAAAAATAACAACAAATGGGGATAAGACAGACTTCACAAGAATGTTGTGAGGATCAAATAGAAACACAAGAATTCACTTGTGATCTGTGTATTTTCTTTTATGTTGTTATAACTCAATGAAAAAATTCAATAGAGTACATGAAAAACTGCTTTGCAAATCATAAAGCAATATTCAGTCACTTACATTTAAATAAGTGTAAAATTCCCATTTCTAAAAGAGTTCTAAATTAGCCAAATGAGCAAGTTCAAACTAAAGTGAACAACAACTTCCTCATTCTCCTAGCCCCAACATCTAGAGGGAGAAGTTTCAGCAGAAACACACCAGTGAATCCGATCATTATGAAAGGTAACAGAGGAAAGAGCTATCTCAGTGTAAAGAATCAGACTCTAAGCAAAAAACAAAAAACAGTCGGAAAAACATTAACAAATCAATTAACACGGTGAGATACCTGTATTTTAAGAAAGGGAAAAGTAACAACTTGAAACTACTAGGTTTTATTTTTTTCCTTTGTTGAAAAAATTTTAAATAACGACTCCTCAACGAAAAAATATTGGAATTTAAACACAAGACCCAAGACAAGATGTTCAGTTTAACAAAATTTTACGGTTAATGGTAACTGAAAATCTAACTAATAAAAAAAATTATCTCTAACGTTGTCAGAGATGTAGGAAGTAAAGTGTACACTGGGGCTGAAGTTTGTTCCTTTTTTTTAAAATTAAACCCTGATATGAACTCATTTTCTTTTTTCTTTTTTTTTTTTTTTGAGGAAGATTAGCCCTAAGCTAACTACTGCCAACCCTCCTCTTTCTGCTGAGGAAGACTGGCCCTGAGCTAACATCCATGCCCATCTTCCTCTACTTTATATGCAGGACGCCGACCACAGCATGGCTGTTGCCAAGTGGTGCCATGTCTGCACCTGGGATCCAAACCATCAAACCCTGGGCCACCGAGAAGCAGAATATGCGAACTTAACCGCTGTACCACTAGGCCGGCCTCTATTTGTTTTTTTCTTGATCGGGAAGGCTAAAGGAGGAAAAATTTTAAAACCTGGTTATTGAAGCTTTCTAATACTCAAAGTACAGTAGAATAACCAGGCTTGAGAACCGACATCCTGACTTTACACTTCTGACTCTCTCTATATTTCTACTCTTTAGCAAACCAACCAAGAAACAAACAAAAACTAGAGGAAAAGGTTTTAAAACAAAGGCTATGGCAACTTCTTGGAAATAAAAGTATGATATTTTAAAAACTCTGGAAATAAATTGAGAGAAGGAAAGAAAAATCATGCTAAGCATATTACATGATTTATAAACACCACAGAAAAATCAGATATTGACCTCCACCCAAATACTGTTATTCAAAAGACTAATTTTGAAGGTAAGGACACCAAAGTGGCAATTCCTCCAACTCCAGAGAGGCAAAAATTTAACTCCTTTATTTCACGCAGCTTTCTGTGCAACATTTAAACCTACAAACACGAAGAAAATCTGGTTGAAAAAAGAACTCTAAATCTTACTTAAAAAGCTCAGAGAATAAGCATTTGGGGGAATATCCCTTTTTACAATTTTAAGATAAGAACTTTTCTCTTTGGAAAGTGAACATTGTAACATTCCATTGTACGGAATAAAGGGACCATCTCAAATGTAATAATATCTTCGTCTCCCAGAACTTTAAAAATTCTGCTTTTAAAATCAGTGTATTTGCAAACTCCGTCATAAATGTCAGTATTAAGATTATATTACTCCACATCCTTATTTGACAGGCATCTATCAGGAAACTGGCCCAAGTGCTGCTTAGTGATGAAATAGACAAACAGTTGGGGACAGACCAAAGCACAAAGCAGTTACCCAAGAGGAATGCTCCTTCATCTGGTGTTGGTTGCTGTGAGGGCCACTGGCATGACCACGCCAAAAGCAATTCTGGCAGAGCTGGTAGTTGTGGCACTGCTGGCATCGGTACCGGAAACCCATCATACTCTCACACCGGCAATAGGAGCACTCCACGGGATGGAAGACTTGGGCAGGCAGAACAAGCAGGGGAGGGAGGAGGGCAAGGGAGGACGGGGGATGAGAGGGAGAAAGAAGTCATTTCATTTGGAGAATAAAGTCAACACAGTGGAAAACCAAATCTAATATAAACGCTAAGGTGAAAACAAAATTAGAACTGACGAATCTAAATTGTCTCCTATTTAGTTAATCTAACCAGCCATTTACTAGACTAAAAGGAAAAGACTTAAGAAAAAATGTTTCAACTTAGAATGCTACAATTCCAATTCATCTTAGAAAACAACTAACCTTTTTCTTTAAAATGAAACTTGTCTCAAAATTTAGACGAACGTAACTAAGAAGGAGAGGAGCCTTTACCCCAAAATTTCTTTTGCAAATCTATTGTTTTTATGTATTATTGGTTGTATACATTCTTGTTTCCTTCACTAACACAAAATCCATGAAGCCAGGAACTGACATTTTACACAGTACCTTGGACTGTAAGGCCTTCAAATGTTTGCAGAATTATATACTACCACATACCTGGGGACAAACGATAACTGGTAAAAAGCAAGGCTAGATACACTAAGACAGCAGTTTTAGGTAAGAGCTCTAAGTAACAGCAGAAAATAAAGTCCTCTAGAACAACAAAGGGACAGTAATCTGGAAGAAGGGAAACCCAGGGGCCGGCCGCTCTCTTCTCCTCCTCATACAGCGTCTAACCTCGTGAAACACTGCCAGGCTGCAGTCAGGACTCAGATTACTGGGGTTCTCTCGCAGCCTGAAAGTCCAGTTCACCGCGTGGGAGGTGGGCAACGCATGACGGTATAGTATAGATTGTTATTTATACTTTTAAATGTTGGTAGTGTAATTGTTTCCTCTGGCAATTCAATTCTGAACACAAGAAATGGAAGTCAATAGGAAAAGGGGACATAGTATTCAAATCCTTTTGAACATCTCCTTCTAGCACTAATGTACACAAATCCAATCTTATCTCAATTATAAGGATTTTTAGTCCTACTTCCAAAAATATACACTAACTAGGGATGATATTAACTATATTATCAAAATTCAAAAAAAAATTTGAGCCCTAGGTGAGGAAAACAATATAAAAGACCACTAATCACTAAAAGAAAAGTAAAATCAGGAATGAGAACTCCAAAGGACATACTTCCTCTAAGAAATTCAAGCCTTTTGTCAACAAAATATTTCTAAGGAATGAGGAAAGTACTAATAAGAGTCTGTGCTCCAAATTAAAACTATACAATCGAGTAGAGTTCCGCCAGAGACCAGACTCCCAAATCAATCTGGAGCTAACACCAATGAAGTCAACATCTGTGCAGCCAACGTTTATAATTCCTTTTAATAATTTTGGGTTAATAATAAGTGATATATGTACGTTAATACTAAACTAGCAAATATATTGTGATAATTTTGGTTGAACATATACGTCTATGTGATTTTTCTTCCATTCTCTTCTAAACCAGTCAAGAACCAGTGCTTACATGAGTCAGTGGAATGGGTGACCAGGTGGAAAAGCAGAGAACCAGAATGAGGGAAATATCAACAAGTGTGCTGCGTCAATTACAAATAACATCAGGTTTTGGTAAAAGCATTCTTTTTTGGAAGAGTGCATCGTGTGGCAGTTATCTTCTTATATACTAGTCACCTGGATTAGTAAATCGATATAAAAAGTGCAACTTTTGCTTATGCAAATAAATCTTTGCCCTTATGAAGAGTAACTTCATTACAATTCAATTGATGAATTTCACAGGAAGTAAAGGGCCCAAACAATGAAAAGAACTAGAAATACCATAACTTGAGAATTTGTTTCCCATCATAAAAATTAAAATATATAAACACTAGTGTGATGGGTAACATGCTTTATTTCTGGATATTTCAATGATTTCACAATATTTCTCTTTCTCTGAGAAAAATGGTATCACTAACCACATAAGAATGTAATCAATACATAATATACTACATACAAAGTCACAATCAAATGTTCATATGGATAACAACACATCTTGACAAATAAGATGCTCTCTATTGGTATAGCAGATACAAAATGATTTTATGAAAACAAATTGGACATGAAACTACTAAAACATTTAAGGCTATAAAAATATTGCCCTCAAAAGAACCAATAATATTGTAATAATTTAATAGCGTAAGTATTTATCCAAAAATCCTATTAAAAAATTTAGCTATTTTAGGGGCTGGTCCAGTGGCATAGTGGTTAAGTTTGCGTGCTCCATTTTGGAGGCCCGGGTTCATGGGTTCAGATCCCAGGTGCAGACATACACACCACTCATCAAGCCATGTTGTGGCAGCATCCCACATATAAAATAGAGGAAGATTGGCACAGATGTTAGCTAAGCCACAATCTTCCTCAAGCAAAAGGAGGAAGACTGGCAACAGATTTTAGCTTGGGGCCAATCTTCCTCACCAGAAAAAAAAAAAAAAATACGACGACGAACTAAGAAAAACCATAAAACCCTTCAAAGAAAATATAGAGATAAAGCTTCATGACCTTGGATTTGGCAATGGATTCTTAGATATAACACCAAAAACATGAGCAAAAAAATTTAAAAATAGATAAATTGGACTTCATCAAAAAATTTTTTAAAATTTAACTATTTTAGTCTAGTCAAGAGATTCAGGACCTTTAAAAAAATAATTCTGAATCTAAGGTACTTGTGAATTAAAGTCACAATTGGGCAAAATGCCGAGAAGCTTAAAAAAAAAAAAAAAAAGGCATGAATAGGAGGGGGAGAAAATAAAAAGAGTACGTTAGCATATTTCATTCTTACAGAGGGAAAGAAAGGACTCTGCCTTTTAGCGCCTTCTCAGCCATCAGTTGTTCTCTGTTGTGGAATCAGGGGAGACAAGTAAGGCCTTGAGAGGAGAGAGGTTACACAGAAAAACCACAGGCTTTCCTTTAATAAACTCAAATAACGTAAACAAGGAGAGAAACTGATAGCAATAGCAGAACAACTTAAGACGTTACGAAGAGATAAATACCACTCCAATTCCAAGCGAAACAAAGATTTAAGTCAAATTACTGGGAAGGATACCAAGAGTAGATTCAAGGTAAAACAGTACAGGAAATAACTGAAGATGCATGAAACCCAGTATTAAACTCTATCTTAGCTCTTTTCCAAAATAATTACAGTTTCAGTGGTTGATATGGAAGATATCTAAGTTTATACATCTAGGATTTTTATAAATTAAAGGGAAATAAAGGAAGTCATGGCTGAGTCAGGTGGCTCAAGCAGAAACCAACCAACCGAAATCTCAGGAGAAAAAAGCCTAGAGTCTGAGCCTCAAAGTTTTATGATCTGATATTACCCCTCTTGGTATCCTATCTAAGTAATAAGCTCATTTTCCTTTTTTTTTTGGAGAAATAAATATTACTCTTTTGAAAGTTAAAACCACAAATTCAAATGATGGAGTGCCAGCAAATGTCCATTATAAATTTTGCTGATAACAGCTAAGGACATTCCAAATAGTATCAGTACATACACTTCCTACAGCATAAGGAACTGAATGACAAAAGTTCTGTTTACCGTTCTCCACATGGGCAAGCCTGTGCATGAGAGGCAGCCAGACAAGGCACTGGGGAGGAGGATCGGCCATCATTGTGTCTAAAAACATATTTAGCATTATCTTTTTCTGTGAAGAGAAGAAAAACAAATATACTTTATATTTTTCAAGCATCCCTGAACTCCAAGATTAAGTTAATTTAGGATTCTCCCAACCGAGCTTTGAATTACATGTGAAATTTTCTACCAATATAAAATTTTTACCTTACAGTAATATTTTACATCACTACGGTTACAACACACTATACTATACACTGCTACTATATTCAAATGCATTTCCACATACATTATGTTAAATGAGTCTTAAAACAACTGTATAAATTAAATAGGTTAGGTATTAGTATCTTCATTTTACAGATGAGAAAATAAAGCATTTAAATGACTTGTAAATGTCCCACCCAAATCAGACACAGAGCCAGGACTAGAACTCAGGTGTCCTTTAAACTACTACGTCGGTTATCCAGCAGGGGAGACAGACCCCACCCCTGATGGTAAGACGTCATGAGAGCAGGAACTCCGGCCGCCTGGTCATCTGCCATATTTCCAGCATCCATAACAGCGGCAGGCACATAATTGGCACTTGGTAAGTAATTGCTGAATAAATACTAAAGAGAAGGGCAAACACTCAGACATCATCCACAACTTTCTCTTTTACAGAAGAGAAGACTGAAGCTCAGAGTGAAGTTATTTGACAAAGTCACAGAGACAGTTATAGTAAGAGAGATTAGAACCCAAATACCCAAATGCCCATCAGTAGTCCCTCCATTATACCATATCCCCGGCTGGACTGCATTTTTCTGTTCTCTTTATTGCTCTCTTTTAAATATGTAGGAAGCTTCCACTGTATGTGAAACACTAATACAATTAAGTCCCACATGGACACAGAAAATTAGAAAACAGTCCAGAAAAAAATAGAGTCACAGATGTAGACAGAACAGGTTCTCAACAATATTTCAAATTAATGAATTTTCCTTTTATTTCCTGTAACACACAAGCACCTTTCCAGCTCCAAAAGGAAAGGAAAAAGGAGGGGAAAGGCAGTGCCATACAACCGGATGTGTGAGTTGTGTAACGACAACCTGGACACCTAGGCCCCCACTTCAATCTTTATTCCAAAAGAAAAACAGAGACAAAAGGGCAAACACGGGAGAACACAAGATGCAGAGCGCAGTAAGCAGCCGTCCCGCCATCCAAAGGTGTGAGGATGGGGTGGGGATGGTTGGGGGGCTGTGTGTGGATGGGATGGGCCTGGAGATTGGGGGCAGAGTGAAGCCAAAAGGCACCCAGCATTTCATCTCACTCTTTCCCAAGTAACAATGTTCTCAGTCTCACCACTTTTGTTGAAGTGAAAAAAATGGTATAAAAAAATGTGGCGTTTCCTCATAAAACATTAAAATACTTTCTTTCAGGGAAAAAAGGTAGAAAAGATAAAACTGGTTAGAGCTGACCTAAAGATTCTGCCCACTGATTACAGAATAATTTTGATTTTTACTATGAATATATTCAACCCAAATTGGAAGCAAGGAGTTGAAGGCATTGTGGTGTTTCTTCAGGACAGCAGGTGCCAGGATTTTCATCTGACCCACCACGACACCTCCCCAAAGATGCCTCCTGTCATGCAAAAAGGAGACTACGCAGACTTACTTCTGTGCATCTTGTTGGCAACTGTGAAAATCTTGATTCTGTTATATGTAAATTGGAAGTCATTCTTATTGAGAATAATCTTTAAAAGAAGAAACTGTAAGTAAGGAACAGAAACACGAGGGAACATAGACGGCAGAGCAAGAAAGAGGCTTTTGCAATAAAATCCTGAAAAAGAAGAAGAAATCTGAAGGAAAGTCAGATCGAGGACAGAGACTGCAGGCCAGCACTGAATGGGGGGAGGGAAAGGTTCTGAAACGTATGCAAGAGAGTGATAACAGTGTGAAGTTACCACCTAAAAGCCCTCTATGCATGGCTTTGCATTGACGGTGAGGCTTGAGAAATGCCTACTCAAATAGGCTAAATAAAGTTTTCCAAAATGCCTTCCATCTCACGCATCCAAGTCACTAATGTTTCTGAGACCTCAGTGGAATCTGGGAGGAATCAGTGAACAACATTAAAAACAAACCCAGAAAGTCACCAAACGTTGGAAGTCCAGACATGGAAAATGCCTCTTACTGTGAATGTGCAAATAACTGCAACAAAGCAAAATGAAATCAAAGGTGTCTGTTTAAAATTATTGAGAAAGAAGATGCCAGGAAGTTTTTCTAGCTAGTGAGAGATGGTAAATAAATATTAAATGTCTATCATTTATTATAAATTTAATGTTTAAATTAGTATTTCTATACCTTCTTCTGTTCAAAATTACATTTTACAAATCCACTTATAATCCTAATGCTCCTTTCTCTAAGAAGTTTTGATTCACCCATGATAAGAGTTTTTTTTAATCTTCTAGATGAAAAAGAACAATCATATTTGATATCTCAGAAGACCCTCACATGTACGCTCAGGATCAGTTTCCAAGACTGTCCTAAGGTCATACTATAATTTGAAGTTCTCCAAAAGCATAAGGAATGAAACCAGAGGAACCGTGTCTTGGTGCTGGGTCTTCCATTAACCATGTGATTTGGGGAAAATCACTTAACATTCTAGTTTCAGTTTTCTCATCTGGGCCAGAACAGTGATTCTCGAAGTATGGTCAGAGGCCCCCTGGAAGGTCCCTAAAACATTTTCAGGGAGTCCATGAGGCCAAAACTATTTTTATAATAATACTAAGATATTATTTGCCTTTTTCAATCTCATTCTCTCGTGAGCATACAGTGGGGTTTTCCAGAGGCAATGTGGCCTATCCACAACCATCTGAAAAAGCTATTAAAATAGTCCTCCCTTTCCAGCTACACAGCTGTGTGAGGCCAGATTTTCTTTCTATACTTTAATCAAAACAATATATCGCAACAGACTGAATGGATAAGCAGATATGAGAATCCAGCTGTCTTCAATTGAGCCAAATATTAAAGAGATTTGCAAAAATATAAAACATGGCACTCTTCTCATTAAATTTTTTTGTTTTGGAATATATGGTTATTTTTCATAAAACTATTTACGTTAACATGTAATAGGTTTATTATCCTTGTTATTTTTAAATAACATTTTTTAATTTCTCAATTTTAATTTTTAATATAGTAATGCTGATAGATATAACCCACATACACAAATCCAACATAAATTCTTTGGGGTCCTCAATAATTTTTACTGTGAAGAAGCCCTGAGACCAAAAAGCTTGAGAACTGTTGGGATAAGAATTTCCAGCTCAAAAATTTTGTCTTAGTAAATAACTGTGTGAAAGATAGGTTGGCTCTTTTTCTCCCTATTTGTCTTGTTTTTGCTCTTGAGTTGAACACATTCTTTGCATTTCTCCTTATTTCTTTATAGCACAATAATATTTATAACAAAAACTATAATAAAATTGCAAATAATGTACATCCCCACAATTCCCATTTTTCCGTATTTCCCTCCAAATGTATGTATTTCTATGTAATCCTGTACATAGGGTAGATGAAAATAATCTGTTTTTTCACTTAACATTTTACTAAAGATTTTATTGTTTTGCTACAAAGTCTTCATTTCTAATCATTTTAACAGCTGCCTGATCCACTGAGCAAAACACCATGATTTATTTATGCCTTCCTCTATAAAACACTGAGGCTGTTTCTATCTGTGTGCGAACGCTCATGCTTTTTCTTAGAAACGGGTATTTCTGTTTGTTGCCTACCTCCCTATCCCTTGTTATTCTAATCCTCAGTACTGACGTTTATCACCCTGGACGCCATTCCCACCTCCCTCCATCCATGACTACATTTTCTATGTCTTAAAATGGGGAGAAACTCTCTCAAAAATAGGAAAACAAGTAAAATAATTTAGCATTCGATCATCATAGCTGCAATTTTCAACCTCATCATTTTCATTAAAATCTCCTATTTCCTTATGGGCAACAGGTGAATATTTCTTATCCACTGCCTTATCACTTATTTGGTAATCAGTTAAACAATGTATGACATTTAGTTAACAGACTTGAAAACAACATTTTTACAACTCTCCAGATTAAAACGTTTTTATACAAACTTTTGTGTAGTTATAGAAATATTTTGTCTAACAAGGGAGAACATACATTAACTGGTTATAGGAACAGTGTTATAAGGTCGCTTATAAGGTGCTCATAAATGCTTACAGGCCTTTAAGTGCGAAAGGTCAGCCTTTCGATTTTATGAGACACTGAATTTGTCCATATCACAGATTTATTTTGGACTTTGAAAATTACTTTGTAATAACACAAAAATATAATGTTGCTGTGCTTTCTATTAGAGATTTGTATTTATTACAGTTAAAAGGAAGATTGGAAAAACTTCAAAAATTTTGAAATATATTTTCCTCACTGCAAAGAATGTTTTGAGAAAATCATGGAATAATAATATTGATGAAAACAACAAGGTTGCAAATACGTACATGATCTTTAAGCTTTCAATTAGAATTCAAGCCAAAGATACTTTCTCATGCCACATCTAACTTAAATCATTACTCAATTAATCCAATGAATCTCCAGTAAGCATCAATCATTTTCCAGACACTCTTAGTCACAGGGACATAAAGTTGCAGGAGACCAAGGTACATCCCTTCAGGGCATAAGTGAGCTAGATGTAACATGCCATAGGAGCGCAGAAGAGGGAACAATTAATCCTACATTGAAAGATTCACAGCATCGAAGAAGAGAGGATATTTTAGCTGAGATTTGAAACATTAGGGCCAAAAATTTGTTGGAAGAGAGAGAGAAGGTCAGGGGTTATTGGCATTTCAGTGAGAGCTAATAGCAAAAACAAAGACAAGAAGTGTACTACTTTTGCTCACTCGAAATGCACGTTACTCAAAAGAAGAGAAACGCAAATTAAAACTATATTGAGAACATTTCTCATCTATCAGATTGACAAAAATTCATAGATGTAAGAACATAGCTGCTGGCAAGGCTGTGGAGAAACAAATGCCCGTATACATTGATGGTGGGAGTGCAAACTGGTACAACCCCTGTGGCACTGT